CCAGCTCGTTCAAAATGCGGCAGCTTGGCTACTAACAGGAACTTGCAGGTTTGAGCACATTACTCTGGTTCTGTCCTCCGTTCACTGGCTTCCTGTGCATGTCAGAATCAATTTAAAAATTCTCCTGCTGACATTCATGTGCATTAATGGCCTTGCACCATCGTACCTCTCCGATCTTCTTCATCCTTATGCTCCTTCTCGGACTTTGAGATGATCAGACCAGCTGCTTTTGGCCGTACCAAAAACCAGGCTAAAGCTCAAAGGAGATTGAGCATTTTCAGTCATGGGCCCTAAACTCTGGAACAATCTGCCCATCAACATTCGACAGGCCACTTCAGTCTCTGCTTTTAAAGCTCTCCTAAAAACACACCTATACTCATTGACATTTGACACAGTGTGATCGGATTTAGATCTAGTTTTTCATTGATGCTGATTCTGTTTATGCTTTTGTTATTATTCCTATTTAACACAAGCTCATCAGATCTGATTTAGTATTTCATTGTTTCTGACTGAGTTTATGTTGTTTTTTTTTTCTTTGACTTTTGACACAACGTGATCTGATTTAGTATTTCATTGTTTTTTGTTTGTTTGTTATGTTTTTTGTTTTATATTTTTATTCCATGTGCTGTAAATATATCTTGCTACTTTTTAATTGATGTTGTGAGATTTTTGTTAAGCACTTTGGTAACAGTTTCTGTTTTAAATGTGCTCTATAAATAAATCTGACTTGACTTGACTTGACTCAAAACTTCTAGGATTTTATTAATACTTGATCCCCAAATATTCTTATTAGGAGACTTTACAAATCTGGGTACACAGTTAAGTAAAAGTCAACAGAAGTTCCTGAACTGGCTCTATGCGTTGCCAGAAAGTGTGTAGCCATTACATGGAAGTCTGACTCCCAACTCCCTGTTTCAAGGATTCAAGGTTCAAGGATTCAAGGTTCTTTTCTTGTCATTCACACCACATGTGATACATGTGGTGGAACAAAACCATGTACACAGGGTCCCAGTCACATCCAAAAACATATCAAAATGTAAAAGGAAAACAGCAATCTAAGATCAAACAGATCTAAGATATGGACTAAGAAAAGCATTAACTAAAAACACACTAAGCACTAGCGGCATAAAAACAATATGCCAAACAGCAGCACGAACATGAGTTTGTGTGATCGGATGAGTACAAATGAACAGAGCAACATGAAATAGATAAGCAGCAATATGATGTGATTTTTCACAGTGATTATCCTGATTAGAGATTCATGAGTCTAACAGCTTCAGGGTAGAAGCTGTTCCTCAGTCTAGTGGTTCTACACTTAATCCTCCTTAACCTCCTTCCTGAGGGAAGCAGGGCAAAAAGTGTGTGTGCTGGGTGAGTGGGGTCCCTCATGATGCAGGTGCCCTTCTTCCTGCATCTGGAGGTGTAGATGTCTGTGATGGTGGGGAGGCTGACTCCAACAAACTTCTGTGCAGCTCTTACCGCTCTCTGCTAGAGCTGGGCGATATATCATTTTTAAAGTATCTTTTTTTTTTGCTATATAAGTTGAGACTATATCGATATAAAACAATTTAGTTTTATACTTGGAAATCCTCCGGCTGTCTTCTTTCTCCCACGCGGCCCCTCTCCTTCTCACTCCTTGAATACAAACCCAGCCCCTCAGCCGCACTCCTTCCTGCTTCTCCAGGAGGTGGGCGGGCGTGAGAGGAGACATTTAACATAAGTAAACACGGAAGAGCAGCTTAGCTTCTGAACAAAATGAAAAAAAATGACAGTTCTTTTTGAGATGGTTTGGATTTAAATTGTCAGATGAGGGGCAGAAAGATGATTTCTGTAGACAATGCTGAAAACAGTCCTGACGAACAGTCGGAACTACAAATCTTTTTCACCATTTAAAACAATGGAGTGGAGTATGAGAAGCATGTAGCTGCAACTGCAAGTCCAAGTGTTTTTTCAGCCCCCTTCCCTGAAAACAACCATGGGTCAGAACTCATTTAATCATGCTGTGCCTTATGAGAGGCACAGGGAGAGGTGGCAACATTAATAAATCAGCAGCTTATCATATCGCTAAAGACGTGGTCCTTAGCAGCTAACAAGACAGCTAACGCTTTAGCCATCTTGTTCCATAGCTGAGGATCATGTCTTAGCAATATGATAAGCTGCTGATTTATTAATGTTGCCACCTCTCTCTGCCTCTCAAAAGGCACAGCACAGCTAAATGAGTTCTTACCTGTGGTTTTTTTTTTTTCAGGGATGAAGGCTGAGGTCTGTCGGACCTGCAGTTTCACACACACTTACTAACGTGTAGATGGCACAGCTGAATGGACTGTACTTACTGTATATAACGACTTTCTATCTTATCAAGACACTCAAAGCTCTTTACAACACAATCTGTGCCCTCATTTACTGATCCATACAAAGAATAATCAGTGCTTTAGATCACATTCTTACACCGACTGGACACACAGAGAAGGCAATGAGGGGTTCATTGTCTTGCCCAGGGCCACTTGAGCATGTGGCTGCTGGTGGAATCGAACCCTCAACTCTCCCATTGGAGGACGACTGCTCTAGCCTCTCAGCCACAGCTGCCCCTAGCTGAAGAGGATTATTATTTACAATATATCTAAATAAATGTATAAAAAAACAATTTAATACATGTAAATAGTTTATTTTTTAGACTTTTATTTTGTACAGTTACAGCTGTTTACTATATGTGCCTGTGTGACAATTGGGACAAAGCTTTGACTCAGAAATATATTTTTGTTAGCACAAGCACAACTTGTACTTATATATGTAAATAAATGTCTAAAAAAAAAACTTTAATATATGTAAATATTTTATTTTTTAGACTTATTTTGTACAGTTACAGCTGTTAATAAATGTGCCTGTGTGACAAATGGGACAAAGCTTTGACTCAGAAATGTATTTTTGCTATTATTTTATAGAAAGAAAAAATATTGAGATATATATTGTATATTGCGGTTTATCTTTAAATATCGAGATATTAATTTTGTTCCATATTACCCAGCCCTACTCTTTGCAAAGCTTTTCTTTCTGCATCTGTGCAGTCTCCATGCCACACGTTGATGCTGGAGCACAGGATGCTCTCCACTGCACACCTATAGAAGGAGGTGAGGACTGAGCTTCCCAGACCAGCTCGTCTCAGCCGCCTGAGGAAGTAGAGTGATGTGCTTTCTTGATCAGGCTGGTAGTGTTGTTGCTCCAGCTCAGGTTATCATTCAGGTGCACACCCAAGTACTTGTAGCTGGAGACCACTTCCACCACAGATCCTCCTATGTTCGGGGTGTGGGGGGTGGCGGGGTAGGTGCGTTTGTTCCATCCACGACCATCTCCTCCATCTTCTTCACATTGATGTGAAGGTAGTTCTTCCTGCACCAGCTCTCCAGGTGTTCAACCTCTTGCCTGTAGCTGGACTCATTGTTGTTTGTGATGCATCCCACCACCACTGTATCATCTGCAAACTTTACAACTTTGTTGGGTGGTCCCATCAGAACCAACTTTTGCTGAATACCACTAAAACCAAAGAGGTGGTGTTGGATTTCCGCAGAGCTCAACCCTCTTTGCAGCCCATTGTTATTGAAGGATCGGAAATTGAGGTGGTCTCAACATATAAATATCTGGGGCTACAGCTGGACAACAAGCTGAACTGGACTGCTAATATTGATGCTGTGTACAAGAAGGGGCTGAGCAGAATGTATTTTCTCAGAAGGCTGGCCTCTTTCAGGGTCTGTTCTAAGTTATTGCATATGTTCTACCAATCCGTTGTGTCAAGTATACTTTTTTTTGGTGTTGTGTGTTGGGGGGGGGGGGGGGGGGGCAGCACTAGGAAGATGGACATCCAAAGTCTTTTTTTATTTTCAGGTTCAACCCTCTAATTACCAGTAATCTGTTGGGTTCGGGTAGGGCTCGGAAAGAAAAAAAAACTACGGGCTCAGTCCAGTCCAGATTTATCAGGCCCGAATGCAACTCTACTCAGCACACAGCCCTGGGGTTGAGGGCTCTGGACACAGCCCTGAGGTTTCAAGGTGGTTCTCAGAGATGAATAGCTGTGCTCCACTCGAAAAGATCACCTGCTCTTTTAGAAGTGATAATTAAACTTTTGTTAAGATCTCGCAGCCTTATCTGACCTATGTGGACACCATGCCAGTGCCTCTATTAGATTCTAAATAGTCATGTTAAAAGGTTGCTACATCTCACTAACTGTCAGTCCAGTCACCACTGTATTGCTTTGCTTTCATGGATTTTTTTTTTCTTACTTTGGAGTAGGTCAGGAAGAGATATTGACATGTTTGTTATGTGTTGTTAATGTTTAACAAACTTAAAACCCTTTAAATAAAGTAATGAAAAAAGTAAGCACTTAGAAAAATATCAAAGGTTTTTGTCCCCTGTCACAAGAGTGAAGAGGGGAATTGGAAAAACCCTCTGTCCATCCGTGCATGTTGAAAAATAAGTGAGACCAACTTCCATATTGATGCGTGGCAAGTTTTAGGCATTAGAAAGTTTTGCCGCCGTAAATGTCCATCCGAGTTGTGAGTATACCTTGAAAAATAGTGAGATACTGACTTCAGTTTTGGTGTGTGGCTACATATAGGTGTAAGAAAGGTCCCTATCAGACATTGGTTTGCCACATTAAAATCCAGTGCAGAAAAATACTCATCTCGGAAATGACAAACATTCACTATTCAAATCCATCAGCAATGGGGGACATCGGTGCGCCGCTAGTTTTATTTTAGCAACATCAAGGCCTTGTTCATTTACAGGATTTAAAACTTGTACTAGGACCATCCTGTGGAGAGAAAAAAAAAAGGTCCTAGGACTTATTTCTATAGAACGGGGTGTGGCTATTTGCAAAGAGAAGAAGTCGCACTAGAATAAAGGTCCAAATTCCAAATTAGAAGTTCAGTTTGTGTCACAAATGAATCTCATGCTTTGGATTTCTAACACTGAAGAATATAAAGTCAATTTTTGAATTCTTTCTTTAGGTACATGACTGGAACAATCCTCATCCCTTCACACTACTTTGTGGTCCTGACCAGCTGTTTGGACTTCACCCAGGCTGCAGACTCGTGCAGCAAACCGCTTAACAGCGCCGCTTTTATCCTGCCACACAGACCTAACAATGATGAGACCTGCAACGTAAGGACAATCACTTAACATGTACATTTTTAAGCTCTGAAGACCAATAATTGACACAATGGTGAAGTCGAAGGTATATTAGGTAACATTGTTTTTGTATTGAACGCTTTTTGAATGTAACATTGTTACCTGTTAATGACAGGTACAACCTAACAGATATACATGATACACTGTGATTAGACTTTACTTTTTTAACAAAATCTAAGTCAATTTGCTGACGGACTGTGTAAAATGGTCAACTCAGTTTAGCTCGGTGGTCTGTGGTTGTGTCAGGAAGGGCATTTGAAGTAAAAACAATCGCCAAGTCTTTGTGCGACTCATTTCACTGTGGCGACCCCTCAAGAAGGGAGCAGCTGAAAGAAAAATAAAATTAGCATCACCTGACTGACATTTATCCTGTGTTACGCATTGTTCATCTGAATTTCTACTGACCTCATTTTACGACCAGACAAATTTTATTAATATGTCTTGATGAAAATAACATAACTTTGAAAGGAATGCACCTAGTTTTGTATTCTAACTCTATTAGCAGCAGCCACAGATGCACCATGAATTCTGGGAAAATCGAGTTTTTCCCATAACCTGTCTTGGCATTGACAATATTATTCCCTAGAATTGGAACAATAAAACTCGTCAAGTGCTTCAGAAATTCTATTGGAAGATACACCCTACTGCATCAGTGATCTGTCATGTTTAAAAATCTTTGAAGAACTCACCATATCCCTTGAACTGTTTTACACCATCCCTTTATGACCACACAAACTTCCAAGTACTTTACTGGGATCTTTATGTGATAGACCAACACAAAGTAGCAGATACAGGTAATAGTGAAGTGAAAAGGATCCAAAGTCTTTTTTTTTGTTTGTTTGTTTTTGCGGTGTGCATTTGTTTTCAGCTCCTATGAATTAATATTTGTAGAAGCACCTCTGGCTACTGTCTGGGTGTATTTTGGGTTTCGTCTTTTCTAGCTTTATGAATCTAAGGGATTAAATATTTTGCCCATTCTTTGGGTAATAGCTCAAGCTTAGAATGGACAAACTTCCACCTCAGTCTCCAATTTTTTTCAACCTCTGATGGGATTTCTTCCAGGATTGTTCTTTTTTTTTTTTTTAGCTCTGTCCATCTTTCCATCAAAACTGACCAGCTTTTTTGTCCCTGCTGATGAAAAGAGTCATCACAGCGTGATGCTGCCACCACCATGCTTCACAGTAGAGATAATTCGTTCAGGGTGATGTGCATTTTTAGTTTTCAGCCAAAAACTCTTATTTTGGTCTCATCTGAACAGAGCAGCTTCTACCATGTTTGCTACATCCTTTCCCTTTGTCACACTGCAAACGGTGATTCTTGTGGTTTTCTTCCTCCAGCCAGATTTGTGGAGTACAGGACTAATACTTGTTCTGTGGACAGATTGTCCCACCTGAGCAGCTCCTTCACAGTTATCATGGGTGCTTCTCAGATTCACAATCTCCTTGATCAGCCTGTCATTTTAGGCAAACAGTTGCATCTTGGTAGGATTGTGGTTGTGCCATCCTCTTTCCATTTTCAAAAGATAGATTGAACAGTGCTTAGGGAGATGTTCAAAACTTAAATTTTTATAACCTAACCCTGCTTTAAACATTATGCCTGACTTGTCTGCTGTGTTCCTTGGTTTTCCTGATGCTGTTGAATTACTAATGTTCTAAAAAAAAACAAAAAACTTTGTGGCCTTCCAAAAAGAGCTGGATTTATGATAAAATTAAATTACCATAACAATGAGATGAACCGGGTTTTGGATTCAGAAATAGCACCAAAATGCAGGAATGATTTAAAAAAATGATTGAAGCATGAACTCTGGTGGAGGTCTGGGTCTGTGGGTTGCTCTGATACGCAGAGATAGTAGAGTTAGTGATTTGGCTGTGACTGTAAAGGTTCTCAAGAGAGTTGAGGGAGTCACTAACCTTCACAGTCAGACAGAAAGCAGAATCCACTTGACATGGAGATCTGATTATGTCACCAGCGGTGAATGAGCTGCAACAGAGCAGGAAAATTGTGCAGCATTAGATGTAGGGGCAAATCCAGAGCCAGAGTCCAGTAGAATGGTCTGAGGTCGAAAACAGGTAGTCAGAAATCCAAATCCAAAGAGCAAAGCAAGAGACGTAGTCAATGTGAGAAAGAGCAGAGTTGTTACCATGGTCAGAGAGGGAAATCCAAACCAGGCAAGGGATAAGCAAGGCAAAAAGTCCAAGAGGCAGGCAAGAGGTCAGAACCGAGAAGTCAAACAAGGCTGTGGCATAAAAGCTGGACATCTACTACTCAAGAAGGTTCTATAGTCTGGCACTGGATGGTTGTGAACATGGAGCTTAAATAGACAGGTGAATCTGATGAGTGCTGACTGCTCTGAGAAAACAAGGGAGGCATGGCATGGCTTGGAGGGAGCAGGCTTGAGCTGGAGAAAGGGTGACAGGCAAAACAGACATGGGAACAGAAGACTATGGCAGGAAGGGCAGAAACCTGACAACCAGCTTTATTTATAGAGCACTTTTAAACACCCACAGGACCAAAATTACACACATGTGGACTATTTACTAACTAGTTGACTTCTGAAAAGTTCATTGAAAGCTCTACATTTTAATCTGGGTATCACAATCAACAGTGAGTACAAATGTACAATATATGTTTTAGAATTTTAATTATAAAAAGTTTGAAAGCCATGTAATTTTTTTTCTTTCCGTTAGTCTATCACATCAAACTGCTTTTAAATTTGACAAACTGGAAATTTTCAAAATGCATGAATATGAATTATTTTTTCAAGGCACTGGAAGAATGTAGAATTAAAAAGTAGTTAGTTGTTGTAATTTCTAAAAGTAGGAAAACATTGCAGAATGATTAGAAGATAAATCCTACTTAGATCAAATCCTTGAGCAATAGAAGGGGAATGTTTTAATAGTTCAAATGCTGCATGAGCAAAAGTCCTTTGTACATAACTTTATAAGATCCAGAAATTCATAAACAAAATGCTCTGCATAGGTAAAAATAAGTTGGAATGTAAGATTTTGTTTTTTGGTTTGCGATCAGCTGCTATCATAGATGCAGCAAATGCTGAAAAGTTAAAAATGCTGAAAATAAAGGAAAAGTAAATTAAAATAATCAAATTATGAAATTCAGAATGATCACTGTTCCACACCCCACAGAGCTCAGAGGACGAGTCCCGCTGGGTGGAGGACCTGATGAGGATGCACACGGCTCGGGTCAGAGATGTGGAGATCCTGACAGGTCTGGACCTGTACCGCAGAACCACCCGGAGCCACGCTGAAATACTCTCTTTAAAGACATACATGCACACTTATGAGAGTGAGATCTGACCCCGCCTGAGCTTTAAACTTTGATGGATGGATGTGGTACCAGGAGGTCACTTTTCTGAGTAACTGAGCATTACTATATCATTTGTTATCACTTGAAGGCAAAAGGGGGAGAATGTTTTTTTAGTGTGAGTGCATGCATGTGCGCTTGCATACATGTGTTTATTTGTACCATTAGCAAATTATGTCATGAACCAGCAAACAGTTTTTAATGAAATTTTCAAAAAGTAATCATTGGTTTGACATTTTCAATTCGTTAGTTTTAGAATTATCCCAATTTAAGATGGCAAACACCGCTTTATGGATTTTTAGATTAATTTGCTGTGGTAGTAATTAGGGATGGGGCCGATCTGATCCAGTATCGGTATCGGCCTCCGATACCAGCATAATTTACATACCGGATTTTTCCGATCCAACCTGCAGAGATTTCCGATCCATGATGCATGTTGGCTTCAAACTATAGAATGGATTTCCTGAACGGAGGCGTGTTTCATGAACCCAGAATATTAAGACCCGCCTCACATTCAGGAAATCCATTTCATAGTTTACATCCAGCTACAACGTGAGGACTGAGTGAGCAGCACTGTGGCTAACAGCTAACAAACTTTTCATCTAAACATGTCCGCTGTGTGGAAGTATTTTACACTAGAAACACCACAAAACAAGACAGCAACGTGCAATGTCTGCAGAGCCATAGTACCACATTAAACCATGGTAAAGTTAGTTTTACGTTGGACATTTGAGCTCCGGGGCTTCAGCGGTCTGCTCCTCTCGCCAAACCCGTAGCAGGCAGCCCCACCCCGGCTAGCCGCGTCCAATCTGCACCACTCAGTCTGCCCGTATCCGAGGAGTGGCAGACTGAGCGTGGCTGACCGAAATCAGATTGTCTGCTGCGGATTGAACAAGAAGAAGACATCGCTGAAGCCCCGGAGCTCGAACGTTTACAGAGAAGTTGCTAAACTTCATCATAATTAATGATCAACTACTATCAGTTGTAGAAAATGAAGGATTTCACAGCTTAATACGTGCAGCCAAGATAATAGTTTACCCTGCAGGAGATGTTTCAGTACAACAGTAGTCAATCATTAAAAAAAAACATGATTTGAAAATTACAAGAAAATTATACATTATATATATATATATATATATATATATATATATATATATATATATATATATATACACACACACACATATATATATATACACACACACATATATATATACACACACACATATATATATATATACACACACACATATATATATAAATATATATATATATACACACACACATATATATA